CCACCTGGCTCTCCTTCCCAAACCAGGCTCCCACCGCGCGACCCACCTTCCCGAATCCGTCTGAAAGCCCCTGTGGGGACCTGTGTCCCTGTGACACCACTAAATTGCCCCTCACGGGACCCTCTTCTCCTGCCGGGGTCTGCCCTCCCGTTCCCCGCTCCCGCACCGGGCTCCGCTCCCGCTTCTCCGCTCGGTCTGCCCTCCCCGCCGATGCCCGCACCGAGCTGCCCCGCTTCCCCTCCCGGTCCCCCGCGTCGGGCTGCCTACCCCCGCCGCCTCCCCGGCTCCCCGGGCAGGTGCCGGTGCCGCCGCGGGGCGGGCGGTGGGTGCCCCGAGCTGCGGTCGCGCACGGCCGCCGCACGCACACGCACACACACACACGTACGGGGGGCACACACATGCACTCGCATGCACACGCCCGGGTGCACACCGGCACCTGCCGTGCACGTACCCTGTGCGACAGGGACCCTCTGTGCACCCCCTCGGCAGCGCCGGGACCCTCCGTGGGCACCCCGGGGGGCTGCGTGGGGAGGGGCTTTGGAGAGCACAGAGCAGCACGGTGGGTTTTGTGTGGGGTCTGCCTGGAGGACGTGCCCTCCACAACCATGTCCCTGTGGGACATGAGGTGGAGCAGGGCTGGGGACACTGGGCTTGCAGCGTGAGCATCCCCAGCCCCAGAGACAGCAAGGAGAGGTCCCATATGGACGTTGCCCAGACTGTCCCCAAATTCTCAGGAAAAGTGGGTGTTGACCTGGGTTTGTGCCAGGTATGATATGCCCCAGCCTGGGACAGAGGAGTTCCTGACCCCTGTGGTCCCACCACAGTCCCACCGGGCTTAATGCCCCCCCTACACACACACACAAACACACACACACACACATGTTATTTATTCCATTTTCCCCAGAGCATTCATTGGTGCCTGCACTCTTCTTCTCCCTGACCTGGCACCAGAGCCAGGCACGTGCCCCAGCAGTGACCTGCTGGCAGCCACACGCTTTGCCTCATTTGTTAATATGACGTGGTCTATTTCCACATTTGGAGCAGTGCCTGGAAATGTGGATATAAATCCCAAGCAATAGCTGGTGGGCTACTGACAGCTGCTGGGAAGGTTTGTCCATCACTTTGCCATTCCCTTCAACACCTTCACATGCTTCCAGCATCTCCACAAGCACACCTAATGATGCAGGTGCTGGGTGAGCTCAGTGCTGGGGCTGCAGGGATGATGCTTGTGCCCTGCAACCTGTCCCCATCGTGTCCTGAACCCTGTCTCCACACACAGTGTGTTCCTCTGCAGCTACACTGGGCTCTGTGTTATCCATAGTGTCTGGGCACTGCTCTGTGTGATGTCAGATGGAAATTTCTTGCCACCTGTGTCATGACAGGGCAGGAATTTTCTTTGAAGTCTCTGCCAGATACAGCTAAAATGGATAAAAAATGGTCAGAGCGTTTTAGAGCGTGCCACACAAATAAAGAGGTGCATTTGTGTTTTCTGAGGGCTGGACAGGTGCAACACCATCCAGGCTCAGCACCTATCCAGGCACAGTGTCTATCCATGATGCTACTGGAACTCTCTAGACCAACACATGGCACCTCTCAGTCTCTGAGCTGCAGCAGGAGCATGGAGCTGCCATGGCAGGGGGCTTGGAATGAGATGATCTCTAAGGTGACTTCCAACCCAAACCATTCCGTGACTTTGTGACTCTGTGAAACACAGAGGCTTCCCAGCACAGTGTCCTCAGAGATGTAGCCAGAAGAGGGCCGAGAAAGAAGCAGAATTAAAAATAAATGTAAGTGCATCCTGACACGTTAACTACATTTAGAGAGTCTTTAGTACCAACCCACTCTGCAGGAAGGCAGGAGATGCTTGGAGACAAGTAGGTCATGGGACACAGATTGTCCCAAATCAGCAAGAAAAGATGGATTTGGAGCAGGCAGGCATATCTCTGTGAACAGATGGGCAGGAGCAGATCTGCTGCCTCACCATCGCCAAATTCCCTGGGAAGACAGAACTGCCACCAGTTTGCTCCTGAGCAGAGCTGTGGTCAAGCCCTCTGTTCTGGAGCACCCAAACCCTGGGGCTGCCCATGCACCCAGGGATGCCAAGGCCAGGAGCCTGGCCAGGATGGGGATTTGTGAGGCAGAAGCAGAGGCACTCCTGCTGTGGCTCCCACCTGCCTTCGTACAAGGACAGGGCTGAGCCTGCCATGGGGTCAGGGCTCCATGCTGCCCAGGGGCTGCTCCTGCACCCCAATCCCACAGCAATGCTCGAGGGGCCACCTGTGAGGGATGAGGTGGAGGGATGCGTCCTGCTGGCATTGCTGCTTGCACTGTGCTACCCCAGGATCCCACTGCCATTGCTGGATGGGAGCTGGAGGGAACCCCAGGCCTTTGAAGGGGCCTCAGGGTAGCCCAAAATCCTTCCTGATCCTGAGGATGGGGACTGGCAAAGGCCACGCCATCCCCAAGGTGCTGGCACTAAGAGAAGGGGAGGAGAGACTGAGACAGCCAAGATCTATGCTGCCAGTGCAGGAGCAAAGAGAGGAGGGAGACAGCCAAGGTCAGAGGGAGCACTGCCAAAATTCACAATGAAACTGCAGGAGTGCTGGAGGAGAGAGACAGACGACTTGGAAAGAAAAGGAAAGAGGAGGGAGGGAAGCAGTCTGGGAGATGGAACAGGGTGAAGGAGCCAGACGGGGAACCAGGGATGGGAACATGTAACTCCTCAGACAAAATGATTGAACATTGCTCTCAGGACAGCAAATGGGAGCCTCAGGCAGGCAGAAGAGGACAGCAGGAGCAGGAATGTGATGGAGCTAGACAGGACCTGGTTCTATTCCCTAATACAGCCCTGTGCAGCACAGCCCAATTTTGGGGAGTTCACAGCTGTCCGGTGCCCACTGGCAGTGCTGACCCCTATCCAGCCTCACCACCGAGGTGAAGTTTCATTCCTGCCTCCTTAGCATTCACAGCATCCCATGGCAGAGCGAGGACTCGCAGCCAGCACGGCTCAAGGTGACTCAGAGGTCAGGGAAAAAGCAGCCAGGCAATTCAGGAGCTGGCTCTACATCACCGTGAGATCCAGCAATTTGGGAGGACCAGAGATGCCCAGCACATCACAGCCTCCCTGACTGTCAGTGCCAGTCCCTGTGTACCCCAGACATAGCATCCTAGTGCTCCCCATGGATGAGGGAGGGGTTCTAATTCAGCAATCTGCTCCTGGGAGCTGCTGCCACCAGCAAGGCCGGCAGGGCTGGACATGAGCCTTGGTGCTGGAGCTGCACAGTGGGCATCAATGAGGGTGGCTCCCTTCTTGCAGGGCATGGAGTTCTCAGACAGGTTTGGTGCCCTGGATAGGTAGTGGATACCTGCCCTTGGGCTCGTGGGAGGTTCCTGCAAGTCCCCATTGGGATACACCACTCCAAGGATGATTTATAGCAAAAAATCCCTCTCCTTTCCCAAACATCTGAGCCCCAGCCCAAAGGCAGCTGGAGGGATGGAGCCCTGCTTGCCACTATGACCAGATGCAGAGCCGCACTGGGATGAGGCTCAGCACTTTCCTGGTGATAATTAAGATCTCATTATCTTCAGCTAACACCAGGGAGACAGGGAAAACCTCAGGTGCCTTGTGATATGGCAACAGCTGATGCTCCGGGCTGTGCCTGGGAGCAACGGGAGCCTCGCTTGTTCTGCCTGAATATAAAGCATGGAAAGCATGAAGCAGAGGGTGAAAATCTATTTTTTTCCTGGCTGGTGACACCTAAGTGTGCAAACATGCTGTCTTCTCTCAGGGGTGGCTGGAGCTGACACAAATGGATGGCTGTGCACCTTTTGCCTTTCCCCCCCTGCACAGAGGTCCGACCCGAGGCTCTGTTGGTTTTTGTTTGGCTTTTTTTTTGTTTTCTTCTGCGAATTTCCTTCACCAGGGGACTTTTATCAGACGTGTCTGGAGCCACGCAGGAGCGCTGCTCACCTGCAAAGAGATGGGGCGGTGTCTGCAAAAGGGCACTTAGAACGTCAAGGGTGACAGGGATTGGCAGGAGAATGGGAGGGGAAGACAAGGAGAGGAGAGTGAGATCGCTCTCCACTCTCATGAGCCCAAAATGAGGGTTGCGACAATGTGTTCCGGAGCACGCGTGGCTCCTGCTGGCGAGCCCCAGAAGGCGGGGGCCATTGACAGCGGCAGGTCACTGCGGAGGGCTCCGTGGCTGTGCGGGGCCGTGCCGAATGGACACGGGCCCTGCGGGGGCTCTGAGGGCGGGCCCGCTCTGGGACCCCCCCGCGGCGCCTTCCCGCCCTCGGCCGAGCCGCGGCTGAGGCCTGAGGAGGGTCCGCCCGCCCTGCCGAGCCCCCTCAGCGCCTGTGGATCCCCCTCGACCCCCGGGCTCCTCATCCCCGCAGGGCTCCTCAGCGGCCGGCTGTGCCCATCCATCCCTCAGGATCCCGCTAAGTCCAATACGTCCCGCCTGGCATTGCTCAGGCCCGCTGTCCCCTCAACATCTTGGTCACCCCATCCCTTTAGGTCCTGCTAAATCCTCAGGGCCTGGCTGGCTCCCCTGTCCCCTCAGGCAGCACTAAATCCACCCTGACCCATCCTCTAAGGATCCCGCCAAATCCCCCCTGCCCGCCCTCTGAGGGTCCTGCTAAATCCTTTCATTCCCTCGGTGCTCTCAGGGTTCTCCCACTCCCTCAGCGCCCAGCTGGGTGATCCCAGCCCTTCTGGACCCCACTAAATCCTCACATCCCTTCAATATCTGCCTGGGTGCCCTGTCCCCTCTGATCCCATAAATCCGCTCGTCCCCTTCAGTGCCTGGGTTGTGTCCCCCCATCCCCTCAGATCCCACTAAATTCCCCCTTCCCCACAGCACCTGACTGGTTCCCCATCCCCTCAGATTCCATTAAATCCCTAATCCCACTTGGGGCCCCAGGACCCATCTCCTTTTGCAAGGGGAAGAGCTCAGGGAATTTTGTCAGGGCTGCCCTTAGACCTTTGGCCAGGCACCATGTTCTACGTCCATTTGCTCATCAACAAGCGGGGGCCGCTGGCCAAAATCTGGCTGGCTGCCCACTGGGAGAAGAAGCTGACCAAGGCACACATCTTTGAGTGCAATTTAGAGACCACTGTCAAAAAAATCCTCTCCCCAAAGGTAGGCTGTGGCATGAGGAGGGATCTCCCACAGTGTCCTGGGGTGGAGGTGTTGGTCTCTTGTAGAGAACTCTGTTACTTCTGTGTAATATTTTAACATTTTTGCCAAAAATACTAACTCCTGAACAACTTTTGTTTTAAATTTAAATCCTCACAGTTTGCTATAGCTCTGCGAACCTCTGGACACTTACTCCTAGGGGTGGTGCGGATTTACAACAGGAAAGTAAAGTACCTCTTGGCAGACTGCAATGAAGCTCTGACCAAAATGAAGACAGCCTTTCGTCCAGGTATACACAAAATTCAGCATTTTTTCATCTGTGTCCTCTACAGATGCTCTCGTTTTACAAATTAATTTTCTGTTAAATACACATTACTGACCCCAAAGGAAACTGAACATACTAGCATCTACTGCTGGTCTGGCTTAATTTAGTGCCATTTCAGGTCTTTGACTCCCTTAACAGAAGCAGTATCTTAAGTGGGCTTAAAAGGAGATGCTTGAGTTCAGCCTCCATTACTAGATAATTAATTTTAATTTCTGATGACACCAACAACATGTCTAACAGTGTCAGTGCCAGACCTGACAGTGTGTTTTGAGCTCTAGCCATGTAGACAGGGAGAAGGGAGCTGAGATGACTGGAGCCTTTTCCAACAGGCTCTGTATTTGTCATACTTAGGCAATAAATGGGAGGCACTGTTGTCTAAAAAAAAGCCTGAGAACACCAGTGTCTACTGCCAGTTTTAATGTGCTTTGTGACCTGGTCTGTTTGCAAAATAGTCAATAATTACTCTGCATTATTCTCAAGGATATGATCACAGAATTATAGAATCACAGAACCATTTAGGCTGGAAAAGCCCTCCAAAACCCAGTCCAACTGTTCACCCAGCACTGCCAAGGCCACCACTAAGCCATGTCCCCAAATACCACATGTCTTTCAAATCCCTCCAGGGATGGTGACTCCAGCATTACCCTGGGCAGCCTGTGCCAGGGCTTGAAAACCCTTTTAGGGAAGAAATTTTCCCTTAATATGCAACTGAAATCTGCCAGCCACAACTGGTGGCTATTTTGGAGATAGATCCTATAGCAACTTGGAGAGCACCACACTCAGTGAGCTCAAGAGCACACAACAGTCACCACTGATGCAACAGAGACTTTACCTAGAGAGAAAGGGGGAGAAAAATCTCAGCAGAAGTGGTAAAATGCTGAAAGAGGCTGTTCAGGGATGCTGTGAAATTTGCATCAACAGAAATAGACACAAGTGATCTGACTTTGAAATTAACCCTGTTCTGGGTAAAAGGGTGGGTTGGATGACCTTGAGAAATCCATCTTCATGTGAATTTTTCCAGGATTTCGAAGTAATTGGCAGTCTGAGTACATAATTATTTGATGCTAGAGAACAGTGTTATGGAGACAGAGCAGAGGAAAGGAAAACACAGTGGTTCATTTGCAGTGCTGTGAAAGACTCTGGGCTAGACATCAGCTGGGAGAACCTTCCAGGGACTTAAAGCAGCTGCTCACCAACACAAGTACTTGCATATTTCAGGCCCTGTTGCAGCAGACTCTTTTGTATCTGTCTGTAAAAAATAGATCATCTTAAGGACATGGAAACTGAAATTCCACTTTTGGGTGCCTAAACTTTACCATTCTGTGATTTAGAATGGCAGCAGTCCCTCCTGACAGGTTTATGGGCTTATTATACCTACCTGGGAGAGAAGACTACTTTTATTTTATTGATACTTATTTTGTTATGTTGTCTGTTTATTTCAGGGCTTCTTGACCTTCCAGAAGAGAACTTTGAGGCTGCTTATCAGTCCATTACATTACCTGAAGAATTTCATGATTTTGAAGCACCACTACCAGATGTAAAGTAAATGCTTCCCTAGTATTTATTCATTCTTTTAGAATTTTCAGAAGTAAAAGCTATACACTTGCTGTTATCTGATTGAGACTCAGATTGGGTTGTTTTGATTTAGTAACTGAATTCTCCTAAATTCTGAGTTCTACAGCCACAGGCATTGTGCTTTGGTAGTTTTCCTCAGTCCTCTAAATCAACAGACCTTCACAATGGAATAATGTCTTGAACTTAGACTTCAGGATTTTAAATTGTCTGAGTGAAGGATGCAAACAGCTTTCTGAACCCCAAGAGAAGAGATAAAAATTAGTAATAATCCTGAAAGATGTGGCCAGTAACCACACAGTGTTGCACTGTTCCACTGGGTAGCTTCATTTTGTTTCTGCTCCACTGCTCTCTGGGACTGGGGTGTTTTATCAGCAATAGTCAGCCTGGCTCCTGAGAAAAAGCCAGCATATTTCTTATGCTTTTTTGACACAAAGCAGCACTAATGTAGAAAACTGATAAAAACCAGGAGGCTAAGTCATGTTTCTGATGGCTCTGATGCCCCAAAGGTCCAGGACAAGAGATTTCTACTGAGGCTTGCTCTGTACCTCCTCATAAATATGGTTTGATGGGATCAGTAAGGGTTTATTATTTTGTAAGTACAGCTGCAATATAATACACTTTATTCAAGTGCCTCAGTGTGCTGACTCTGTAAAGGTGCCTTTTCTACCTGCCCAAGAGTTGTGTAATTTGATTTAAAAGATGTTTCACTAATTAGTTGCCTTCTGACAAGGGTCTGGTAGGTATCAGGGCTTGGGAACAAAATCACAAAAGCCCAAGTTTACAGGCAAAAGGGAGTGGACAAATGTGGGGGCTTGTGATAAAATGCCAGGATTGAAGGCTGTGTAGAAACAAGTTTTCACATTCCAGCTGAATGCTCAATGTGTTTCAGTTCACTCTATATTTTTATAATATTTTTTTCATCAGGGCCATTGATGTTGCTGAACATTTTACCTTGAATCAGAGCAGAGCTGAAGAAATCACACTTACAGAGGATTATGAAAGCAGTATACTTCTCTGTGATAGAAACTTTGGTGAGAGTAGTTGAGAAAGTGGAAGAATTTCATAAGGGGAAGTGTGTTTTATGTGAGCTCTTTCCATGTGTGAAAAAGCTGTGATTAGAGGTCCATTTGTTTCATGCATTTGCTGATTGGCCTATTATGCTGTTTTAGGATTAAAATTTTGTGTTAGCAATATAATCTGGTGTCAGACACTGAGGACCAAACCAAACATTTCCTGCTTTTATTAAATTAGATAACATTGTTTATTCTTTATTCCATTTGAGGTATGTCTTGCAACCTTTTAAAAATTACTTGAAAAATTAGGAAATTGATACATCTGAATTTACAAAACTCACCCAGATGAGGGATCAGGAATTGTGTGTTCCCTCAGATGAAGAAGCAGAAGCCCTGAGGAGACAGAGCTTCTTTGAGGGCAGTATCCTGACGAGCAGTAACAGTCTGATGGCCGATCCCAACTCAGCCAGCACCAGCGGAGACAAATCTGTGCTGCACGAAGATGTTTACTGCTTCCAGGATGACCATTTTGGGGATGAGGAGGATGCTGCAGATATGATTGGTAGGGTTTGCCACAGCAAAGAGAATTGGTTCCTTTCCAAATATTTTTATTCTTACAGGAAAACAGTCAAGACAGCAGCAAAGCAATTGTTGTCAAACATAAATTCTGTGTTAGTTGTTGTTTTCATACATATATTTTTACTACCTGTCACTAAGTCTATGATCACTTAGACACTGCCAAATCAAATTGGTTTAAAGGCTGTATTTCATTATTTTAGAATTAAAGGCATTACATTTATGCTTAATGTTTAACAATTAATTTTGGTTTTGAAGGTGAAATAGTGCAGTGTTTTTATCCTTACTGTTGTAATAACAAAGGCAGCAAAGTAGTTTCTGGATCATTATGGCTTAGAGCATTTATGTAAACCTTACAGATTGATACCTGTTAACACTATTAAGGCCATATTAGAAAAAAAGAAGGGTGGAAATCTCAAACTTGGGACTAATCCCCTCCTTTGTGTGCTGCTGCAGACAGCCACACCACTGCCAGCCATCTGCAGAAGCTGAGCTTGCTTTCTTTGCAGAGTATTAACCTTGACTAACATTGGGCTGTATCAGACTATTTCATGACTACTAAGGCTTAGAATGATTAAAACTATGTGCTTTGTATTTAAGAAATCTTGTTGAGAGATGAGCAAAATGTCCTAGATAAAGACATTCTTGATGTGGAGGAAGCACGTCCTTTGTCACAAGATCTGCCAGAGAACAGCACAGCCAGTGAGTTTGCAGTGTCTGCTCCATCTCACATAAACCCTCTGTTCCTGTGTTAATGCCTAATGTCACTCACATTCAGCTTTTTGTAGTATCCTTGTGCCTTTTTCCTTTCTTCATTTATTTTGCTTTTTTTTTTTCCCTAAACTGCTTCATCCACCATTTTAGGATAATTTTATTTGATTTAGGGATTCCAAATTTGTAACTTAGAAACACCTTGCTTAGAAACACCTTCATGTGACATCCTGTTGGATATGCTGTTGGTCCACCCTGCTGCTCACAGCATGATGTCCCTTTTGAGCGGGAAAGAAACCCAAATAAGGCTGTCCTGTAACAGTGAACTTTCCTAGTGAGAGCTTAAGAGGTCTTTTCCAACAGAAACAATTCTGTGCTTCTATTTCTGGCTTCATATTTCTGCAACAAATGACACTTAAGTAGCTCATAAAGGTGCTGTTAATCTTCTTTTGGTTTGATGTTGATGAAAGAAATTAAGCTTTGATAACTATTTCTGAGAAATTTTTGCTATCTTAAATCCTTACTCCCCTATCAGAGTGTTAGTTTAAAACAGAGAATTCTGGAACAACTTTAAAGGGATAAAGTGGCTCTTGCCTCTCCTTGCTCTATTGCTGGTGCTGCTTGCTCCTTTTCTGTTGACAGAGATGTCTCCACTTCCATGCACTTGCCTGAAACTGGAAACAGATAGGGATTGCAACTAAACACCTTTGCCCCTAAACACTTTCTGTTGTATGGGGTTTCTCCAGATCTGTCTCTGCTCTGGCCTGGTCATTCTGGGATCAGTGAAGTGTAGAGTATTGAGACTATGAGAAGGAACTGGTGAACATAAGTGAGATTATAAACAAAACTACAGTTTCCTATTTCTCGCTGGTTTTGTCCGGTAGCATTCTCTGTCATGTGATTGAGAAATTAGTTCATATTGTAATTTTTCTTTTTTTTTAAATTTGGGTTATTTGCTGGGTTTTCTTGCAGTTGAGTCCAACTGTGCAGACACCATTGTTAAGGATGGAAATCAAACAATGAGTGATACAATCCTTTTGTTCCAGGAAGAAGGATTTGTGCTTGAGCCAGTTGATGATACAGGTCAGAAGTTGATCCGTTTCTGATAAATGTTTGCATTAACTAGATTTGGTTTGCTTCATAGTAGTGAAAATATTTGCAATATAGATTATTCCCACTTTAGATTTCATCTGCTCCTACTGTCAGTAGTTCCTTTTTACAGTAAATATTATACAAACCCAGTGTCAGGTTATTTATCTCAGCTGCCCAAATTTGTGCTTGCAGTTTCTTCCATGTACCAAGTCAAGTTTTGTTGCTCTTCAGCTCTGGTAGCATTGCAAGCTTGGCCTTGGGGGTGGTACTGAAGATTCACCTGAAAAACTGTAATTGCCAGTCACACATCAATGACTTTTATATTTAAAATCACAATTCTAAAGCTTTCAAGCCTTTGGAAAACATTGGTTTGTGAACTTTTAACAGGATTCAAGGTGAAAAGTATTACATTTCCTCTGCAGAGGAAATCTAAATGTCCCCTATCACATAGGTGGTTGTTTATGAATAAGCAAGCTCATGTTGACAGCAATATTTACAATATTGGAATTTTCTGGCCTGCCCAAATAATATCCAGGAAGTTATGACTATATAAGTAATCGTTGCCTTTCTTTTGTGTTTACATCTTGATTAAATTGCTAAAGGATTAAACTGACAAATACAGATATTAATTATGAGGTAATGAAACCTCTTGAGTGCATCAGCAGTTCCTGGAGCATTTAACTTCCTGATGAATTAAAGCTTATTCAGTCTTGTTGCTCTATTGTGTCTTTTCATTATGTTGTCCTGTACCCAGCTCTTTATAAAAAGAGTCATTTGTCTTCCAAAATTAAACATAAGGGAATTTCCAATAAAAGAGTACAAAGAGTGAAAACTTCATAGAAACTTTTGAAGGAATGGCCTGTGCACTTGTACTTTGATTTCCAAGTCTAGGCAGTGTTCAGAAGGTCGGCAGCCAGGTTGATTCACGGGGCTTCTTTTGTGTGCTTAATGTCCTAGGAATAGACCTTAAGACTTGTTATTAATACTTGCTTTATGTAGGTGCCACCCAGAGGAAGAAAAAACAAAGAAAGAGGAAGCTGCTGGTGGATGTGGAGAAGAACCTGAGCTGCCAAACCATTTACAAGCAGCTCTCCAACTCCACTGACCTCCTGGCCACGCTGGACCTCGCTCCCCCTACCAAGAAAACGATGATGTGGAAGGAGTGGGGAGGTGTGGATAAACTCCTGTCCCATTCTTCACAGCCTATGATTCATGATCAGCTGCAAAAGGTAAACATCAGTTCCTTGTGGGGTCTGTGCCACTGTGCAGAATCCAGGATTGTTGCAGAGCTGGGATCTGACTGAGAGAGTTTTGCAGACTCTGATCTGAAGTTGGAGCTGGCTGCAGGTGTGCCCTGAGCATTGCTGTGCAGTACAGGTCAGCAGACACCTGATGGTTTGCACACTCACCACTGTTTCATCATCTGTGGGGTCACAGCCTTAACCTTCTGCACTCCAACAAGTGAAAAACTACAAAAGGAACGTGAGAGCTGATGTTTCATTTCACACACTGGTGCCTGACTGAACTTGTACTGAGACACAACTTTTTACTTTTCTGTCTATTTCTTTTATGTTTTCTCCTTTGTTGTGTTTTTCCTGGTTTATTTCCTCTTTGTAATCAATTTGAGATATTTTTTGTTTATATTTATTTAAAGGTACATCAGACATTAGTAGTAGAATATTGCTGATGGATTTGGAAGGGTTCACTGCAGCAGTGCAGCTTCACCACTTAGAGTCCAGCTGCAGAATTACAACTTGCTCTTTAAGAAGATGAAAACTGCAGATGTTTCTTTCTTTCATCCTTCCCTACTGGCTGGCTTCAAGAAAAATGATTCAAGCTGCTCCTAAGATGTTTTTTTTTTTTTTTTTCATGGAATTCATGTCAGAGCTGCAGAAAGCTATTGCTTAAAAACAAACAAAAAAAAATTGCAGATTTTCAGAGTGACCTAATTCAAATACTGAAATTCTAGGTTGCAGTCATTAACATACAGCTCATATTCATATTTTGTGTTGATGTTTGTAAATAATCTGACATGATATTCTGAAAGCAAACAAAAAATAATTATTTTCAGTTCTTTGAAAAATGCTTCAAGACTGACAGATTTAAGATGAGAGCAAATGGAATACGGAGGATGTCTGAAATGAAAGAAATGAGAAAAGAGCAAGACACTACAGGTAATATTTTAATTCTGTTGTGCAGAATTAGGTGTTAGAGAGTATTTTCTATTCTACGTAATGTTTGAGAGACACAAGAGGTGTTGTTGTGCAGTATTACACAAATTGCTACTTTGCTGTTCTTTTGTTTCTTAGAAATTAAATGAAATCCAAGTTTTTTCTTCCTTGTGGCATAAGAAGATATTTTTTGTTTCATCTTTGGTTTCTCTAATTATCTCTGAAACTACAGCTTTGGGTAATGTTGCTTGTGGGGTTTTTTCCAATATAATTGAAAAAAAATAGCTTCCCACTTATCCTAAGCTTAATCAAACTTCTCTCCAAAATTCCAAATTAATGTAAAAAGTTCTACTTGTATCTGGAAGATGTGTTTGGTTAATATCAGGCAAGAAGAAGTGTTCCATTTTTGATCTTCTGAGAAGCATGTATCCACTTTCATTCCTTTGCTCTGCTGGGAATCTAACCTGTCTCAAAAATTAATTAACAAACCCACCTCCTGTGAGTCCATAAAGGTCAACTTTCAGAAAAGGAAAACCTGCCTTAGAAGGTTCTTCTTCCATGATTCTGTTGGGAATGATGTTTCTCCAATATTTGCTTATTCTGGCTCTTCCTCTCAAAGACTGTGAACTTCTGTGTGATTTTTGGTTTTCAGTGGGTTTTTTTTTAAGGATGGTGATTCACAGTAATTTCCTCTTCAACCTTGGTTTTCTATTAATACAGAGATGCTGCCAGTAGAAGAGCCAAGTTACCTGCAGGAGCCAGCTCATTCCGAGACTGGGAGAAAAATTAGAAATGATTCCTTTATGTTGACATCACAGAATGACAGAAATGAAACCAATGAGAACTGTGGTGAAATTATAGTGAGCAGTTTTCCTCAGTTTTAGAGACCTAAGTGTGCCTATTGGTTCCACTTTTTGCTAAGTTTCCATTTAAAACATGTTAAGAAATTACTAATGTTTGGAGAGGATGCTAAAAACAGTCAAGAGAGCATTAAGTACCTTGTGTGATGAAAGTTTCTTTATAATTTGGTGAACTCCCACAATGAATGAATGATTAATTAAAATGTTTATTAATCAGCATAGATTACAGTTTAATCACTAAGTATACATGAGAGCTTAATATTAAATATGAAATATTGTACTGAAGAGACAAATATAATCTTTATAAAGCAGAAAATTTACATTTTGGGTGTCATATTAAGGAAATACTTAAGAAATATCTCTTCCATCTTCACTTCTGCTAAAGGGCATTCTTTAGAGAATATGAGGGTCATTAATGTTGAAAAGTGATGAAATTGGAGATAATGGCAGCAGAAAATGTGTGCTCCATGCCTGAACTCTGCTCATAGGTTTAGTTTCATCTGTAGATAAATCCTACAGCAAGGTCCTTCCCTGTATCAGGGAAGACATGGTAGAAATAGCAGCTTATTAACTTATTTTGGAAAACTTCATTACAATAAATTCTTTGAGAAGAACTGTGTAAAGAGAACTGCACTGTGTGCATAAATGGCCAGGCCTAGTGATTGTCTTCTTCATGTTCACAGGAGGATGGAGCAGCTTTCTCCGAGAGCTCAAAAAATTCCCTGGGCCAGGAGGTTGAAGCACAGCAGGTGGAGGTGCCAGAGGTGTGTGTCCTAAGCTGATGGCCCTGCCTTGTTTCAGGAGATAACCCTGTTTCTCAAAAAAAAAAAAAAAAAATAGCATCATGAACTTACAGGGAGTTTTGCTTCCTGTGAGCAGGAAATAATTTCAGCCTTGCTGGGTCTGAGGATGTTCAGGTACTCTGAAACCAGGGCAGGCAGCTGCAGGCTTCAGAGGTTAAACTCAAAATCCCAAGCCAAATATTTGAATATCTCTTTAAGCCCCTGTCAGTACAAATCGTGTCAGAATCCCAGTCCCACAGAGCAGTACCTGGCTGTGGAGCTGCCTCACTGGGACCTTGTCCATGTTGCACCTGAGCTATCTCTGAGCACAAAGCACACAGGTCCCATTCTTTCCTTTGTTTCACACAGCCTTGTGTGAGCACAGAGGTGTCAGAGGCTCCAGATTCCCTGAGTTTGGCCATCCAGATATCCAGCTCCATCTGGATTTTTAGCCAGCCTGGAACTCTTGTCCTTTTTCTCGTGGTGTGTGACTTTTTACAAACCCTTACCAACTTTCTGTTTACTTCCTCTCAAGGAGGAAACAACGACCGGGAAAGACAATGAAGAAATAAGATGGGGCAAAAGAACTCTTCGGTTACAAAAAACTTTACAGGTACCAGTACTGGATTTTGTTACTAGATACCAAAAGCTGGTGTTGATTTCAGCTGGACCATGTTAGAAAAGCTCTTCCTTCTGCTGTCCATTGTGTCTCCCCTTCTCACGTGCAGCATGCACTTTTTTTGGTATTTCTGTGGAAAATCAGGATTCTAGGTGCTTGATGTGTGGTGTTCCTTTGCACAGCTGCTGGAATTACTAGAATTTTCTGAAGGCTCCTTTTTTGTAATGTATTTCAAAAGTCTGTGCAAATAGTAAATAAATATTTACACCTAGGTACAGCCTTTAAAAAACAAGAGATAACTGAGCCCAAAGAACTGCTCAATTATATTTATTGTTATCAATCACAAAGCATGATGGAAGCACTCCACTAGTGTAATGGAATTCTGTGGAATTTTAGATTTTGGTAACACACATAAGTACCAACACTATTATGGCATTAAAATGTCAAGAATCACTTCTTTAAACACAGATGGGAGATAGCCAGAGAGGTTGTGGGCTCCCCATCTCTGGAAGTATTCATGGCCAGGTTAAATGGGGCTTGGAACAACCTTGTCTAGTGGGAGGCATCCAGGGTGGGGGAGTGAGATGGTGTTTAAGGTCCCTTCCAACCCAAACCAGTGTGTGCTTCCATGATTCTATGGAGATGGGATCCTATGTGAGGCATTCAGGCAGAGATATTCCCTCTGTGCAGTGCTCTCTGTTGGGACTCCATGGGCTCCCGTTTTACAGGTGGAGAAGCTGACCTGACTGATTTCTCATTTCCCTCACACAGCAACTGAAGAGATCGGGCGTGTGTTCCTTCAGTTTCCGGGAACTCTGCCAGAGAAACACCCGGAAAGAAGCTGCAGCCACATTTTACATCTTTCTGGTGCTGAAGAAGCAGCAGGTCCTCGAGCTGCGGCAGCCCAAGCCCTTTGCTGACCTCACAGCCACTGCTGGGCCCATGTTTGACAAGATCAGATAAACTGATCAAAATACAGCTTGGGTTGCATTTTCCAGCAAATAGTTTTCCTGGAAAAAGGATGGAATGTCTTGTCAAGCTGTGGGAGATGAGCAGAGCTCCCTGTCCTCTGTACCACCCAGTCATGGCTGGTGCAGGGGTCCGGCCCCAGGTGATCACTACAGGGCTTATTATTAATATTTATAGTTACATGATGAGTTTTATGATAGTTATACAATATGTTAATAAAATATCACTAAAATATATATTCTACGTAAGAGATTTACATTATGGAGGATTTTATAAAAGTCCTCAAAGGAATTTTATAAAAATCCTCAAAGGAATTTTATAAAAGTCCTTCAAAACCTTTCTCAAAGACTACCTTTGGAGCTTAAATTATTTTTGACAAGGCTCTAATACCATCAGTAAGAGTTATCTGTTTACTCTCTGTAGCAAAAAAATTTAGATTATTTAAAATTTTTCCTGTCAACGAATGTTCACTATTTCATATTTTAAGATCTAGCAGGGTACTGTCTCCAGTGTTGCTTTTGTGTCTTCAGGCAGACAGAGATTACACTGGCCCTAGAAGAGTCCAGAAGCTGCAGCAAGAAATTCTATTTCTTAGAAATCCTGCATTTTCAGATTTCACAGAGCTTTTTAACTTATTAACACATTTATTCATATGTAGATCTATTTAAAAATGGACGTTAACTGAAATATTATTAATTCTTTGCATTTTTATCTAATTTAGGATAAATTTTATCCCTTTTACTGTTATTTTCTGAAGCTCTTGGTTTCCAGCTGCCTCCCACCTGGAGGAGGAATGGTTGTGCCCCACTCAGCTGCTTTGGTGCTGTGGGGACATCACTGTTCCTTCGTGTGGAATCAATAAATATCAGAAAATGTTTCCTTTGCTTGTTGTTATTTCTTCTGAAGGATCAAATCCTATGGGTTCATCTCAGAGTGAGGGACTTGGTGATTTTACTTTAAATGGGAAAGGATGGGTGCTCCTGTCACCCAACTTCCAGTGGCACTGTTTGTCTGTGCCCACTAATGTGTGTGGTTCCTGTCCCACAGGATTTGGGGTGGTTTGGTTTTCAGGTCTGTTTAAGGAGTAAAAAGGCTTTAAAAGAGGTGAAGCCCCAGTGTGGGGCATGGGGTGGCCATTGGCTGTGGGGGTGTTCCAGCTGAGTGTCCTTTCTGGACAGGAATATTTCATTAAATAAGTATTGGGCCTGTGCTGCTGTTCTCTGAGGGGTCCATTTTCTGGATGTAAGGAAGGGAAAAGCATCCCTGTATGATAAAATCCTCTCTGTTTTCTGCAAAAGAAACGCTATTTTTGGGTGGGAATTAGGAGCAAGGCTCAGGCCAAGGCTGGAACCAAGGGCAGCTCATCTTTTCCTTATGGCAGGCCTGGCACTTCCAGCCCCAGGTGCTGACCTGGGAAAAGGGTTTGGGTTTGGTGAAAACCTCTCCCTCTTTCTCTGCAGCAGGCCCAATCTCCCTGGAGTGGTGCTCCCACTCTTCAGGTCAGAGTATCCTGGGAGACCAAGCACTGCAGACTGCAGAGGGAAGGAGAAACCATTTTTCTTTCCCAAAAGCCATCAGGAATGACTCTGCATCTCACAGCAGAGCTGCTGCCTGTGCCACATGGTCAGAGCTGCTCCAGTGGCAGCAGCTGTGATAACTCATTAATTTTCCTTTCAAGGAGAGAGGCTGTGCGTTGGATTCACCGGGAAAGAAGGAAACAAAAGGCAGCTGGAGGCGGGCAGGAATAAATGGGAGGCAGGGGATATATATACACACTGAAAACAGTCTGTGTGCTGGGATAAATGAGATACAAATCATGCAGGAAATAGTGCTGGAAGAAAGACTGACATGTATTTACCAAACAGGTTTGTCAAAACTCTGGAATAACCATGGGGGCGTGACAAAGGGAGCTGGGAATGTCTGGGAAGCACAATGGGCCCGGGGTCCAGACCGAAACTGGGCACAGGTTCTACTCTGGCTGTGAATATTTCCCGCATTAACATTTCCCTCCATAAATGCGTATGTGGATCTACCCAGGCTGGATGTCTATAGCACAGGCACATGTGCATCTCTGACGCTCCTGGTCCCCACGGGGGTGTCCGCAGCCGACCCTGGGCGCTCCTGGCCGCGGGCACGGAGCTGCCCAGGAGCCGGTGCCCTGCTGCTCCCCGCGCAGGCTGCGGGACGCGGCGCGGGGGCTCCCGAGACGTTTCCTCCGCAAATAATTTGGGAAGGTTGATCTTGACAGTTACAGCAGGAAGCTGTGGGAAGTGCCATGAGTAACCGGGCTGTGCTGGAGAACGGGACGTGCCGTGCCGTGCCGTGCCAGCCGTCAGCCTCATCTCCCAAAGCCGCCCGGACGCCAGCCACAGCCTGGGAGAGCAGCTCGGGGTGGCTGCTGCTGCTTCTCCACCCCAGCCCCGGCGATTAGGGCCGAGCCAGAGGGATTGAAATGGGGCTCAGAATTCCGGTTTTTTAATGACTTTACTGTATGAAACTGCGTCACTAATTAGAGGTAGGGATCTCCTCGGAGCTGTACTGCTTAAAATGAAAACTACAACACTGGGGGGACGCCAAGGCCCGGCTGGCTGCAGCGCGGGGCCGCCCCGGCTCCCACCCTTTCCCTTCCTCCTCCTCCTCCTCCGGGGTTACGCGGGGCGAGGAGCCCAAGGCCACCGGGCACAGGGCACACCCGGCCCGCGGGGTTTCGCAGACAGGGAGGGACCCCAAATCCCGGCTGGTTTCTTGTTTTGAGGTGGCTGCGCCGCTCCGGCAGAGGGGAGTTGCCATAGAAACGGGGGGAAACCCGGCGGGGGGGGGGGGGGGGCGGGGGGAGGCACCCGCGGCGCCGTCGCTTTAAGATCGCAGAGGAGGGAGCAAATTACGCAGCTGCACGGCTCATCCCTCCCTCCCTCCCTTTTCCATCCATCCTTCCCTCCCTCCCTTCGCCATCCCTCCCTCCTCCATCCCTCCCTCATCCCTCCCTCATCCCTCCAGCGCTCCCGGCCGCCCCGCCGCACCCATGGAGGCCGACGCAGGTGATGGAGGCGGGGGAGGGCGCGGGGCGCGGGGTGGGGCGGGGGGCACCGCACCGGGCACCGCACCGGGCACCCCACCGGGCCCCGCGCCGCCGCCGCCGCTCACCGTCCGCTCTCTCCCTTCCCCGGCAGGTCGCTGAGCCCCCCCACCCCGGCGCTGCCGCCCCCGACATCGGCGGGGCCCCGCGCAGGTGAGCGGTGCGGGGCGCGGTGCGGGGGGCGCGGTGCGGGGCCGCCGTGACTCATCCCTTTCTGGCTGCAGTCCGGGCTGGGGGGAGGCGGGGGGCGCAGCCGGGTCTGCCAGCGCCGCTCCGCATCGGGGGGCGGGAGCGGGGGGGGGTTCTCGGGGCACAGGGTGCTCGGGCGGGTCACGCATCGGGCCCGCAGCACACCCGCATTGCGTGTGCCAGACCCCCGCGGCACACAGCAGAGCCGTGCTGCTGCACCAGAGCCCATGGCGTGCGCTGGACCCCCGAGGCACGCACTGCGCCCATGTCTGACTTGCCAGACCCATACCTTATGTACCCTGACCCGCACTGCAAACCCACCTGGACCCCCACCACACCCACCGGTCCTGCTGCACAGCCCTGGAGCCGTGTGACATGCACTAGACCCACACAGCAGCACCAGCCATGCGTTACACTCACCAAACCTGCACTGCGCTCGCCAGACCCACATCTCACGCACCTGACCCACTTCACATGCACCAGACCCTTCCTGCACACCCCAGACCCACATTACCTGCACCAGACCCTCCCTGCATGCCCCAGTCCCTCACTGCACACCCCAGACCCGCATCTCACACCAGACCCACATCTCATTGCACCAGATCCTTGTCACACGCATCAGACCCTCCCTGCAAGCACCAGACCCTCACTGCACACCCCAGACCCACATCTCATGTACCAGACCCTCCCTGCATCCACCAACCCCATGTCACATGGACCAGACCCACATCACGTGCACCAGACCATCCCTGCACACCCCAAACCCACATCTCATGCACCAGACTCTCCCTTCAAGCACCAGCCCATGTCTGCTGTTTGTGCAGCATCCCTAAGTGTCTCCGGCACCATGGCATGCTGCAGGAGCTGAGGCTGCTCTGCAGTTGACATTTTATTATTTAATGGCTTCATGCTCCATCTCCAAGGGACACAGGAACACCCCAGCGGGTTGGTGAGCCGGGTGTTCTGTTCTCTCCTCCCCACAAGGTCAGAGCTGTGGCTGTCACACAGAACCCACTGCTGGGTGCCTGTTCTGCTTATAAAATCCGTGTTCCCACCCTCTCTGGGCAACAGGCACGTTGTGCTATGACCGTGTGCCAGAAGATGCAAATCCTGGTGTCTGGGGGGTCCCAGGGTGGGGGTCAGAGGGGCAGTGCCCGTGCTCCCATCTCAGAGGTGCTGCGGCAGGCAGGAGATGTGGTGTGTGGTTAAAGTAGGCCATTCCAGCCGTGTGGAGAGCAGGGCTAATCCCCCGGCACCGCCGTCATTCCCAGCCCTCGCTCAAGGTGGATGGATGGTGGTTAGGGGAGACCTGCTTCCGCCGAGGCTCGGAGGGGAGGCGGAGCTGTTGCACTGGAAGCTGGGTTTGTCTTCCAGGTTTTTGCCTTTGTACCTCAAAGGAGTGGGCTGTTCCTTGTGCTTCACACAGCTGGGCTCGGCTCCTGCCAGAGCACCTCTGCAGGATGGGCTGTGCAGTGGGATGTCACCTCCATCCCATCCTGCTGACCTTCCTGGCCTGGGGTGAGAGCACGGGGTCTGCATCCTGGGTGTCCCACTCCTGCTCTCCCGCTGCTACAGCACTTGCCATGGAGCTCTTTTCCCATTTCCCTTTGGCTCCAGAGTCCCCAGGGAGAGCCCAGCCTTTGCCCTCTGGTCAAGCACCTTATTTTAGCTAATGAGAGCTGGGAATTGCCACCTCCCCATTTGGAGTTGCAGCCAGGTCAGCTGGAAAAGTGATGAGCTGCATAACCCGAGCTTTCCAAATGGTGTCTGTTTTCCTGTAATCTCTGGATGTCAAGTCAGCATTTTACAACAAACAGGAGAATAAAAGGAGATGCTCCTGCCTTTTGGAATGGGATACAGCCACTCTTAGCAACATTGATTTTTCTGGTGCTGTTGCATAAACACCCCATGGGGTTTGTCTCTGCTCTGAGCTGGATTTAGCAGTGGCTTGGGCAGTGCTGGGTTAGCAGTTGGATTTGAAGGTATTAAAGGTATTTTCCTACCTAAATGGGTCTGTGATTCCATGATCTCCCTCTGCCTGGGACCCAGGTGAAGCTTTGGGATGAACCCATCTACACCAGAGCAGAGGCTCCCAGCCTCTGGAGATATTGCCACATCCTTGTAATCTTCTTGGAGCAAAAGCAAAGCAATCCCTGTGTCCCAAAAATCCCCCATGGCAGGAAGAGGACACAGTCATGGATGTTTGCCCCCAGCTGCCCAGGTGGTGGCCCCAGTGCTGACCCCCTCCTGCACCAGGACTTCTGCCAGCCCTGGCTGCTGGATCCTGCTCTTGCCCATTGCAACCCAGCTGTATCCCAGTCCCTTTTCCAGTGCAAGCAGCCCTGGCATTGCCACTGTCCAGGAACAAGGGCTCTGCCCCACATCACCTGCTGCTTGTTGGCCACATCCAGCACTTTGCTTATTTTTAGAGCATAGAAAAGCAGAGCTGGTGTCAGGAAGGCAGGGTAGGTGCTTGGGAGCCCTTTTTGTACCCTGGAAAAACAAAGCTGTGGTTTCCCTCTCCGTGTTCCCTCTGCTTTTAATCTTGCTCATCCTGGGAGGCTGAAGATGTCCCAGGGGACCCATGGGTTCTCTCCCAGGTCTCTGCAGTGGGTGAAGCTGCTCTCAGACGCTCGGGCTCAGTGCCACCATTGCAAAAGATTCCTCACACAGGATGTGCCAAGGGAAACACAGGAATCCAGCAGCAGGCAGCATGATGGGAGCCTCGACAAAGGAAGCAGTGAGCGAGAAATCCAGGGAAATGTGGCAGCTGCTGGCACAGCAGTGTTGTGCTGAGGGTTGACACTGGCAGTGAGCTGCAGGCTGTCACACCTCTCTGTTCCCTGTGGGCATGGGGTGAGCTGGCAGCAGCTGGATCCCTCTGAATCCCACAGAAGCTGAGCTTTGGAAGCTGATGGGAGAAAACTCTTGAGCCTGCAGCCATGAAACCCTCAGAGGAACAAGCTGAGGAACCATCAGAGGCTTCACTGAGCCAGTGATGAGAGTCTCTCCAGGGGTCTTGTGTCCCTGTTTCCCATGTGAGAAGCATCTAGGAAGGGCCATACCTGCCCAGCCTGGTTTGTCCATCACTGGCACAGCCAGGGGATCCAGCAAGGAGTGGGGAAGTGTCAGGATTTGGGGCAAAGAAGCCTCTCTGTGGGGCAGTGTTCCAGCTGAGCCTGGGGAAATCTTCCTGTGGGGCACCAGGGTGAGCCCCCACTCTGTGCCTGCTCTGCCATCCATCACTGTCACAGTGTGATCAGTAGTTCAGCAGGAGCTGGGGACCCACCAGAAGATGAGTGTCACCCCCCCAGGACAGTGGCAGTGTGGGGGACTTGTCCTGATTCTGCATCCCAGCCCTCTGTGGGGGATCCTCTTTCTCATGCTGTAGCTCCAGCTGTTTCCTTATCAAGGCCCATTGCTTTTACTTATCAGGAATTCTTCAGGCTGATTCCACTGCATGGAACAAACCCTGGTTTGTGCTGTTGTTTGTAAAAGCTCTGCCCTTCTGCTCCTCATGTCCTGGAGCCTCACAGGGAGTTTTGCTGTCAGCAGCACCAGCAGCACACTGGTCTTTGCAATGGGCAGTGCCCACCCTGCCCAGCCCTCAAGCTGCATTTTAGGGGATTTGCAGGGTGCTGGAGCACAGGCAGGTGGTTTGCAGGACAACCTCTGTGTTTGGTGTAAGCTGGAGTGTTGGACCCTGGCCCATGCTGGCATTCCCAGGCAGGAAGGGCAGACACAGGGGTGCTGTGCTGAGCAGGGCCCTACTGCTCCCCCAGAATGGAGACAATCCAGTGCCCCCAGGTCACCTTGGTCTTGGTCCATGAATTGCCCTGACCACCCCTGCTGGGAGAGCTGGTGGAGCTCTGATGAGACCTTAAGAGCCTCTTCCACTGCCTAAAGGGGTTCCAAGAGATCTGCAAAGAGACTTTGGACAAGGACATGGAGTGGCAGGACAAGGGAATGGCTTCCCACTGCTAGAAGGCAGTCAGATGGGATATTTGGAAAAAAATTATTCCTTATGAGGGCGGTGAGGCCCTGGCACAGGTTGCCCAGAGAAGCTGTGGATGCCCCATCCTTGGAAGTGTTCAAGGCCAGGTTGACAGGGCTTGGGGCATCCTGGGATAGTGGAAGATTTCCCTGCCCATGGCAGAGGGTTGGAATGAGATGGTCTTCAAGGTCCCTTCCAACCCAAACCATTCTGTCTTTTTAACCCCCTGCTATGGGCAGGGATGCCACCCAAGACCAGGGTTAATCCTGGATTTCCCCTTGCTTTCCTGGTGGGGCTCCATTGGTGCTGCAACTACTCATCCTGGTCCATCTGAGGGGGTTATTCTGAGTGCAGATCTGTAATTTCCTCTGCCTTCAGTAGCCACATACCAGATGGGAAGGTGTGTGTTCAGCTTTGGTGCTGAATCTGCCCACCCTGCCTGTCCTGGGCAGCCTCTGGGCACAGTGAGGCTCCTGGGGAGACTGAAGTGGTGAAGTGGCCCATTGATCCTTTAGGAATAATGACAATTTATTATCACAGATTAAATTCCAGACAACCTGGGTGCTGTGGGAGGCATCAAGCCTTGGTGTGGGCACCAGGCAAGTCTGCAGCAGTGGGAAGAGGAGGAAATGAGGTCTTCAGACATGAGGCCAAATCCAGGTGTCCCCACAGAGCCATTCCAGGCTGTTGTGCTGGCAGCAGGTGCCTGGGGTGTGGTGTGGGGTGCTCTCAGGAGCCCCATTTGCTGGACACACATGTCCCATCTGCAGTGCTGGCACTTGCTGATGTCAGTGGGGCACAGAGGGACCCCTGCACAGAGCAGTGTGCCATGAGGGTGACCTTGACATGAGTGGGGAAGATCCAGGTCCAGCTGAGCTGATGATGGGCACCCCTGGGATTATACCAGATACCACTGGACTGCAGGGAGAGGGTGAGGAATCAACCCTCTCAAATCTCCCTGAATCCCTGCTGGAGAGCTGTGCTGCTGGAGGGTGACAGAGAATCCTGGAGGATGCTCCTGCCAGCCTGGGGCCATGCACAGCTCTTGGTGGATGCTGATTCACGCTGCTGCAGTAGCAGAGCTTGCTGCCCACTTGGGAGCAGTGATCCAGCAGGACAGAACACTGCCTTTCCCAGCCCAGGTCATCTCCAGGCATATCCATCCCAGGGGGGAGCAGCAGGATCCCCAAATCCTTCTTGCAGTGTCCCAGGGGTGCTGGCACCCCTCTGCATGGGGCACTGTGCCTGCTGGGACTTGGGACTTCACAGCACCAGGGCTCTGGGATTTTTGGTGCCCTGGTTTGGGGATCAGGGAGCAGCAAATCCTGGACAGAGGAGGGACCTGAGCTGGCCAGGGTGGGTTTTGAGGTATCCTGGAAAAAAACAAAAAAATCACCTGGGGTTGCAGATGTAGAAGGCTGCACTAGGGTGAGCTGGATGTGCCCCCCTTTCTGTGCTGCCTCCCCTGTTGTCCCACTCCTCACACTCCCCTGGAGCAGGGCCAGCAGCATGGAGTGTTTCCTGTCACCCATCGATTGTCTGTTGGCAGGTCCCATCTCCTGCACTGCTCTGCCAAAATCTGAGACAAATGCTGGCATTGGGAATAGGTCTGGGGGGGCCCCCGTGCTGCCCCCATCCCCATCAGTCTCTGGCAGTCTGGGAGCACAGAGGGAATCCCAGCAGTGCCATGGGGTGCTCAGCAGGATGTGGGTGCTGAGCAGATGCTTCCCTCATTCCCTCACATCCTGCGTGTGCCCGAGGTGCTGCAAGCCTCTGGATCTGGCCTATTTATTTACAGGAAAGGAGGCTCTGTGTTTCCCCAGGGATTAGCAGCTGCTGCCTCATCATGCAGGGATCTGTTCTTCCTCACCTGATTTCACTGCTGAATGGGGGATTTGCACTTAATTAAGGAAAAGCAGGCACCCAGCCCACTGCAGGGAGAGCTGCCTGCCCGGGGAGCTCCATGGCTGGGTCAGAGCCCTGGTACCATCTCTGCCCCCAGTAATGCCCCCACTGCAGGCACTCTGTGTCCCTGTGGCATTGCCCTGCTTCCTGACAGGGATGGGGATCTGGGAGCAGGGGGAAGTTTATCCCATGATGGGAAAGGGGCTCTAGACCATGGGCAGGCCTCTGCTCTGCTGCTGATCTGCCTTTTAAATTAAGAACACCCTTGCCCTGTGCCCACAGGATCCTGGTGGGACCACAGGCATGCAGCATTCTGGCATTTTTGGGCTACGGGAGACAAGTGGGAAGCCCAGCCCTGATGTTCAGGGCATGCTGTCCTCACGTGTCCCTGTACTGGTGGCCCTGGGGACTGTACTGATGCCCTGGTGCCAGGGCTCACCCCACAGGGGCCCCATCTCATCAGGGCCATTTTCCTGCCTTCACCTGCTCTTTCTGTTGCCTTTGCCTGCAGTTCCCTGTGCCCAGGAGCCGTGGCACTGTGGCCATGTCCGTGCCGGGGAGCAGACGCGCGTCCACGGGATCACGAAGGTGAATATGCTTCAGCCTCTGGCCTCGGGACTGGACTCCAGCGCCTGCAGCCGGGATGAGACGCTCCCCACGATCCCCACACCTCCACCACCAGCTGCCACTTCGCAGCACCAGCCCCCAGCCCAGCTTTCGGGGGTTTGCATGGCACTGCCCGCTGCACAGCACCTCCCTGTCCGTGCATGCAGCTCCCCGAGTGCTGCACGCCCTGTCCCTCTGTCCGTCTGTGCCACAGCCAGGACCGACCCCTCCGTCCGTCCAGGCGAAGGCAGGCAGTGGTGGAGAGCACTGGGTTGGGGCAATGAAACTGGGAGGTATGTTAGCCCTTGGAAAATGTCTCCTTGAGCTGAGTGGTAAAGAGAGAAAAAGAGGGAAAAAGCTTTTGTTCCCCTGCCAATGTCTCCATGACCTGGACTGCCATTATGGAGGTGCAGGCTCAGCGTGGGCAGGGAGAGCAGGCAGAGCTGCCCACGTCTAGGTGATGCTCTGGCAGATGTGGCTGGAGCTATGCTGGGACCTGCTCCCAGGGGACTCTTATGGGGCTTCCAAGGGGATCCCAGGGGCTCCCAAGGTCCTCAGGGTGCGAGGATGCTGTGCCAGCATCCATGGGCTGCCAGGCCAGGGAAGGGGGAGCGGGTGGAGGACATCCCCCCCAGCCCTGCCTTTGTGCCCGTCGCCATGTCCGTGCGATTTTGATCCCTGCTGTTTGTTTTGTCCTTTTGTCTTGTGTGTTCTCGGTGTGGTGGTTGGCAGTCGCGGGGTTTATGGACGGAGTGGCTTTGCCTCCTTCTTTAAGTCTTCAGCGCCCTCAGCCACTCGGCCTGAGACACAGCCTCTTCTCCCTGCCTCCAGGCGCCCCTCGCCCCCCGGGAGGGACACCTACGGCACCTCCTCGCTGAGCAGCAGCAGCAATTCTGGCTCCTGCAAGGGCAGCGACAGCAGCCCCACCCCAAGGTAACCCATCACCCGTGGCCCCAGGGCGGCTGCTGGGTGCCCCCGGGCAGGGGGAGCAGTCCCCCCGTGCTGCCGGTGCCGGTGCCAGCGGGGACAGGAGCGCAGGGGCCGCTGCAGCGAGGCTGTGCGCTTGGTGGCCGGGGGAGCCGGAGCTGCCGGAGCTGCTGGTGTGTCTCCACAGACCCTCACCACCCTCCTCCTCCAAACCTCTCCGCCGCCGTTGTTGTGTCGTCTCCCTCCCTGTCCCCCCGCCTGCCACCCAGGGATCCCCCGTCCTCTTCCCTCCGTCCTGCTGTGGCTGTGGCTTGCACGCTGCACGCTCCCTCCCGCCACTCCTGCCTTCCAAGGAGCACCCGGATCCTTCCAGGCTAAAGGCACGAGGGCAAGAGCTTCGCTTCCATCCCCTTGTGTTGCCCGGCAAAGGTTTGGCAAGAGCTGGTGGCCCCCTGGCTTCTCAGCAGGGAGCTCCGGGTGTGTTCAGGGCACAAACAGGCAGCACTGAGCACCAGCCCCAGCCCTGCAGGCACAGCAGCCCGTGGTGCCCTGCTCATCACCTGCCTGCCCCCTGCCAGCTCCCAGAGGTGGAATCATTCTGGGAGGATCTGAGGGGCCCGAGTGTGACATGGTGAGCAGGTCCCATGCGTGCTGCAGCCAGGGGCAGTGGCCCTCCCGCTGCCATGGGGCATTCCAAGGCATGGATGCTTCTCACACAATGCTTCTGGACATGGCTAAAGGCTGCTGGGCTGATGGACATCATGCAGGGGTGCTTTGGGACGCCTCCTTTCCATTCACAGGGAGTTTGGTCCCCCCACTGCCATGCCAGAGCCACTCGTGCAGCTCCCACCTCTCCACGTGCCTCCCAGCTTGGCCATGGAGCCCTGGCCAGCCCCTGTTCTCTGCACTGTCCCAGGCTTTGGCCCAGAGATGTCACTTCATCTCCCCCGGTGCCAATGGTGGCATAAGGAGGGTCCAGAGTGCTGCTGGCCCAGCCCAGAGCAGATGCTGGATTTCCTGGCTTGCTCCCCATGGGCAGGACAGCCACTATCTCCAGACCTACTCCATCCCAAACCCTTCCATTCCCCATCTTGTGCCTCCATCTCTGGTGGGGCCCATCCCACCCTGGGGTCTCCATCCACATCAGTTGTTTACAGGAAGGTCTCTCTGGGCACACAGAGACCTTGGTGGCCCTGGTTTTGCTCATGGCCCAGCAAAGTCCCCAGCACCACAGAGCACTCAGCACCTGACAGCAGCACCGGTGTGTCCAGGAGCTGCACCCACCCTCCTGCCCGGGCACAGCACAGCACTGAAGACACCCACCCAGTCTGTCCTGCCAGAGGCACAGCACACAAGACACCCACCCTGCCCCTCTCACCAGGGCACAGCACCCTCATGCACCCACCCTGCCCCTCCCGCTCTCAGAGCTCCTTTGGAGTGTATTACGGGGCTGCACCCCAAGAGCAGGCCTTAGAACCCCTGGGTCAAGCCTGTGCTGACCCTGGCACTGGCAGTGGGTGACATCTGTGTCCCTGCAGGCGCTCGTCCAAGTACAACCTGTGCAGTGACAACCATGGGATAAAGCCCCCGACGCCGGAGCAGTACCTGACGCCCCTGCAGCAGAAGGAGGTCTGCATCCGGCACCTGAAGGCTCGCCTGAAGGACACACAGGAGCGGCTGCAGGACAGGTGAGCCGTGGGAAGGGTGCCAGCACCAGCCATTGCCACCCACTGTGGCAGCTCCTGTCTGGGACTGCCCCTTCTGGGTTCTCAGTTCCCAGCATGGCACCTTATCCTCGTGCTCACGCCCAGGGACCGAGGGCACAGCTGTACCACAGCATTGCTGGCACCTGGGATCTGGCACTGCTGGCATGTGGGATCTGGCACTGCTGCCTGTCCCACCTGGGAGCTGCAGATGTGGGAGCCCCACGTCCCACCTGCAGTGGCTGCCTTCTCCCCTCACCCTAAGTCCCTGCCATGCTTTTGCTGAATTTCAGCGTCAGAGGGTGGCTAATCCCCATCTGCTCCTCTCAGGCTTAGGCATGGCCCCGCTGCCGTGCCAGCTGCCACGCGCCTGCCCGGGGCACCTGCCCACCCCCACGCAGCCCTCAGGGGACCTGGGCACTGCAGCCTCTCAGGGAGAAGGCTGAGCATCACTTGCAGGGATCCCTGAGCTCCCACTGCTCCAAACCGTGCTGCCAGGGGGCCCTGAGCATCAGTCCTGAGGGTTCCCGAGCATAAATCCTAAAAGTCCCTGAGTATCATTCCTGAGGGTCCCTAAGCATCCATCCTTGGGGTCCCTGAGTATCACTCCTAAGGGTCCCTAAGCATCCATCCTTGGGGTCCCTAAATGTGTCACTCCTGAGGGTCCCTGAGCATCACTCCTGAGGGTCCCTAAACCACTGGCTCCATCCCTTGTTCCCAGTTGGGAGTGTCACTGGGTGATCTGGTTGCAGCCCACCGCTGGGCACAGAGGGCAGGGCTGTCCCCGCAGCCCCCTCAGCGCCGCGGTGGTGCCCTCCCGTCTCCGCAGGGATGCTGAGATCGAGGACCTGAAGACGCAGCTGTCACGGATGCAGGAGGACTGGATCGAGGAGGAGTGCCACCGCGTGGAGGCCCAGCTGGCGCTCAAAGAGGCTCGCAAGGAGATCAAGCAGCTGAAGCAGGTCATCGACACAGTGAAGAACAACCTACTGGAGAAGGACAAAGGCCTCCAGAAGTATTTTGTGGACATTAACATCCAGAACAAGAAGCTGGAGACGCTGCTGCACAGCATGGAGGTGGCACAGAACGGGGCGCTGAAGGAGGAGGGCGCCGGCGAGTCGGCCGGGGGGTCCCCGGCGCGATCCCTCACCCGCAGCTCCACCTACACCAAGCTGAGCGACCAGGGGGCCGGGGACCGCAACGTGGGCGGCTCGCAGACCATCTCGCTGGACGAGGGTGCCGACAGTGGCTTCGTGGGGATGGAGGAGGCTCCGGGCCACACGGACCCGCTGGAGGTGGGGGGCGAGCCCGGCACCCGCCTGCCCCCCAGCAACACCTACGAGAAGGTGCTGGGACTGCGGAGCAGCGTGGAGGCAGGGGTGCAGGCCAGCTGCATGCAGGAGCGGGCCATCCAGACGGACTTCGTGCCCTGCCAGCCCGACCTGGACACCATCCTAGAGAAGGTGATGAAGTCCCAGGCTTGCAGCTTGGGCAGCCCCACCTCCGCCTGGGTCTCTGAAATGGAAGACACGATGCCCGTCCCCGAGCTCGCCAACCCCACCGGGACCACGGACCTGATGGTGGCCGAGCCCGACGCCGCGACGGCGGCTGCCAGTGCCGAGGGGGGTGTCCCCTGCAACCCGGCGGTGCGGCAGCCCCCCAGTGCCAGCCCCTCGGTGGCCATCGCCTGCGTGGCGGAGGAGGAGCTGATGGAGGTGACCGGCTGCGAGACCAACCCTTCCAAGAGCTACTGGAGCCGCCACTTCATCGTGGATCTGCTGGCGGTGGTGGTGCCGGCGGTGCCCACGGTGGCCTGGCTGTGCCGCTCGCAGCGGCGGCAGGGCCAGCCCATCTACAACATCAGCTCGCTGCTGCGGGGCTGCTGCACCGTCGCCCTGCACTCCATCCGCAGGATGGGCTGTCGCCCCGTCGCCAGCCCCGGCCCCGGAGGCGCTGCCCAGCCCTGACCCCTCCGGCGCCCTCCACCCGCCCCCACGGACCCGACTGCTGATTGTAAAGCCCCGGCGTGGCACTGGCGGGTGGGAAGGGGCCGAGGGGTCTGTGGGTGCATCGAGGTGTGCTGCCTCCCCCCCAGCTCCTGGAGGAGGGAAAGAACCGTTGTTGGAAGAGGGGCACCCAGCGTCAGCCCCCGCCGATGGACACCCCTGCCTGTGCCTCTGGCTGCGGGGGGCCGTGGGGCTGCACCCGCCAGGGGGGCTCTCCCTCCATCGCACTTGCTTTTTGTTTGTCGCCGGGTTATCCCCGGGGCCAGCCGTGCCACGGGCGGGTGATGGCGAGGAGCCGCTGGCAGCGTGGAGCGCTGGGGATGCAGCGGCTCCTGGCTGCAGGTGCGGTGTCTGTCTGTGGGCAGGGGGATGGGGGGTTCCTGACCACACACAGGGATCAGCTCCGGAGCGGGTCGGGCCAGCCTCCCATTCCCTAGGAGATGCCTCCCCACACTGGGATGGAACTGGGCTGCAGATCACGCACGGAGCCCTCCGAGGAAGCCGTGGGCTCTCCCTCCCTTTGCTTTGCACTATATTCACTTTTTTTTGGGTACAGACTGAAGCCCGGCTCTTGGGACTCTGGCTGCCGGGCAGCGGGACCGGGGGCTCCTGCAGTTCTGCCCGCCGCGATGCTGGTGATCCCAGCACCTGCTGGAGCTCGGATGCCTTTGCTGGGGTGCGGGCAGTGCCGTGCAGGCAGAGCCAAGCCCTTTGCCGCCCCGGCCCGCCCAAACCCCCGCTTTGCTGGCGACCTCCGGAAAAATGCCTTTTTTTGTTGTTGTTGAAACACAAAGACAGCAAGGATTGCTCAGCGGGGCTCTTGGGGCGCGGGACTTGGGGCTCCCCCGGGCGTGCCGCACCCCCACCCCACGAATGTCTGTGGTTTCTTCGTGACTTGAACTAACAGTGTTTCCCCCAACCCCAACCCAGTCCCGCTCCCCCACCCACGGGTGCCACCGGCCAGGTGCCCTGGCAGCCGGTGATGCTCCACACGCCGGTGTCCAGCGGTCCCCAGAGGGGCACGTGCCACATCCTGTGTGCCCCACACTTCCCTGCATCCCCCTTCTGCCAGCTCTGCCCGTGCTGGGGGGCAGTGGGGACAGCAGCTCTGCCACCAGCACAGCACCAGGTGCTGGGGGAAGGATCTGGGGAGCAGCAGTGTCCAGGGCAGATGTAAGTGGAGCTGGGATATTCGCCTCTCGTGCAATGTATTTGTGGATCTGTGTACACGTCTGTTAGGCTATCCAAAGCTTTGCCAAGAAATAAATGTAACGACTATATTTGAAAGACAAATCTATATAATATATTTTTTAAATACAGAACTGAAAAAGCTGTAACCCCCCTCTTCTTGTTTCCCCTGTCCTGTACTCGCTGTCTGTGGTGGATGTAATAAATGTCACTGGGTCTGTGTCTGCTTCGGCTGGAGCCAGCCCTTGGCATCTGCCCTGAGGGGGTGGCCCAAGCAGGAACATGGTGACAGTGGGACCCTTGTACAGGACATCTGCCCCATCCTTGCTGAGGAGAGGAGGAACCACCCAGCAGCCACCAGACTCTGATGGGATAAGGAGTTTTGTGCTAGAATATCTCCTTTGGAGGTGCTGTGGGATCTGCTCAGCAGGCCCTGGGCTTCCAGCATCAGCTCCAGAACAGCAGCAATGGTGTCACAGGTCAGGGATGGAGTGGTCCATGGATGACTTCACCAGCCCTGATGAGAGCCTGAGCAGAGGGAAGGGAGGTCAGTGGGGGGAGCCCGGGGGTCCCTGTGGGGTGTGGGGGTCCCTGCAGCCCCACGTTCTCACCGTTTGACCATGTGCTCGTAGATCACAGTGGGGATGATGGTCAGTGTCACCACGTTCCCAGCCCCTGCCAGCACCTCCATGAGCTGCTTATCCTGCAGGAGAGAGAGGGGGGGGTCCATGGGGTGCCCAGCTTTGCTCAGTATCCCCCTCCCTCCTGGATTCTCTGGCCACATCCTGCACCCCCAGGGCACAGCCCTACCTTCATGCCGATGACGTTCTGGCCGTTCACCTCGCAGATGCAGTGGTGGGTGAGGAGCCCGTTGCGGGCGGCCGAGCTGTCCTTGGCCAGCGACACAATCTTCCCCTTCTTCACCACGATGCCGACGTGGCCGGTGCTGTCCTTGTGCACGGTCACGGTGCGCTGGAAAGGCCTGTGGGGGGAGCACCATCAGTGCTGCCACCGGCACTGCCACCCCCACCGGTGCCACCAGGCACTCACCTGTCCCTCACCACCATGACGATGCCACCCCCACCGGTGCCACCAGGCACTCACCTGTCCCTCACCACCATGACGATTTTTTCAGGGTTGGCCTTCTTCAGGGCGCGCTGTGCCTTGTCACTGCTCCAGCCCGCGCAGTTCTTGCCGTCGATCTGCAGCACCTGGTCCCCGAAGCGCAGCCCCACCAGCGCTGCTGGCGAGTTGGCCTTCACCAGCTGCACGAAGATGCCCTGGGGACGCAGTGGAGTGGTGGCACAGGGCTGGCACAGGCACCAGTGGCCGTGCCGTGCACCATGGTATGCCATGCCGTGCCATCTGCACCTGCTGTGCTGTGGCACGCTGTGACATTTAATGCCCCACGCTGCTGTGTTGTGATGCTGCCACGTCACGCTGCGCTTTACTGTCATGCTTATGCCATGTCACATCATGCCATGACAGTCCTGTGCCATGACACAGCCCCATGCCAGCCCAGCCCCTCACCTGGTCGACGTTCTTCAGCTGCAGCCCCGTCTTGCCCCGCTCGTCCTTGCACAGGTGGATCTCCCGCACGCCCGGTTTGATCTCTGCCCGCCGCAGCCCCGCGCTGTTCCCGCTCAGGGGAGCCACCAGCTGGCCTGGGGAGGGCCCGGCGGGGGTCAGTGCCTGCGGGGGAGCTGCGGGTCAGTGGGGACAGGGGGACACAGGGCCCTGTGCACCTCAGCCCTTGGGAGTGCTGCATCCCTTTCTCGGGCAGGATGAGGAAGCAGAGGGAGCCCCGTTCAGGAGCCACGAGGGGCAGGGAGCTGCCAGCCCAGACACCTACGGTGCTGTCCTCCGTGCCCAGGTTCTTCTGGATCTCCTCGCTGGAGAGTGCCAGCCCCATGTAGTTCTCCAGCTCGGCCAGGTTGGGGTACAGCACAGGAGGCTCTGAGGGACATACCGAGGGTGGTCTCAGCTCCTGGGGCCCCCAACCCACAGCCAATGCCCCCTCCTTCCCAGGAGCCCCCTCAGACAATGGGCCAGCAAAAAGAGACCCCAAAATCCCATCCCCAACCCATGCACTGAGTTGTGGGGGGATCTCAGCTGAGCCCCCCCAAACTGAGCATCACTGCCCACCCAGAGAGCCCCTGCACAGGGGGAGCTGATCATGTCCCACCTTACCAGTGCCGGAGGTGAGCTTTGGCTTCTCTGTGGCCACGGTGGTGGCAGGGGTCCTCACCCCAGCTGCTGCCTGTGCCTGCCAAGAGACAGCGTGCTCAATGCTGTGCCCCCCACCCTGGGCACCCTCTGAGGCGAGACCCCACAGGGACCCATGGGGCTCTGCTCACCCCCTGTAACGCTGCTGAGCTGGCACTGACCTGCAGGACCTGGTGGCCCTTCATGTCCTCCAGGGAGGGGTAGAGTGTTGCCATCGCTGCTGCTGCTGTCTGGGGACAGGGATGGGGTGGTTCAAGGACTGGGCTGCCTCTCTCCAAGCATCCCTCCCAGCCCGTGTACCGGAGATGGGCTGTCTGTCACCTGGTGTCTCCAGTGTGACTCAAGGCTATGTCACCAGGGTCACCATCACTTCCTGGTGGCTGGGACACGGATGGCTGTGTGCTGGCCAGGTCCTGCTCCCCACGTCCACCTGCCCCACAGAGCCATCCCAACACAACCCAGACAGGGGAGGGGGATTTTCCATGGGAATGGCCTCTTTGCCCCTCATCAGACCCCTCTGGTCCCCATGTCCAGCTGGCCAGTGGGGCCATTCCAGCATTACCCAGACACAGCAGTGAGATGTCCCATGGGAACAGCCCTCGTACACACCAGCAGCCCCCTCTGCGTTTCATGTTGTGCCCAAGGCTGTGTCCCCCAAACCTACTCTATGGCATCTTGTGCCCCAAAAAGCATAATCCAAAACTCATTGTGTAGGGCCAAATCCAGACCCAGCTCTGAGCCCTGTGGGAACCAGGCAAGATCCCACCTGCAGCCCAGGGATAGCAGCAGCATCCAACAGACAAGACCCCCAAGTCCAACCCTGGCACCCCTGGACTCACCTGCCAACAGCTCCCAGATCCTTGTGACACCCTCTGCCTGGCCCCTGGGTTTTATAGCCAGGCCCAGCCCAGGGAGGGGCCAGACAAGCTCAGCTGATTGCACCCCCGCTAGGTAGGGCACAGGTGAGGAAGAGGAAGAGGAAGATGAAGGCAACAATGCACAGAGCCGTGGCACTGCAGGGCTGGGACAGGGATTGGATTAGGGACAGGGATGGCTTTCTGTAGGTTCGGGCATCTGGGGGAGTAGGGATGGGACTGTACCCCCCCATGGTGCCCCCCTGGCCCCACTGCATCACCTCTCCTGCCACCCCCAGCACGTGGCTTGGCCCCCCAGCTCCCCCCCCATTATCCTGGGCTCCCCAGGCCCTGCTGGGGGGTGAGGGGGTCCCCTCTGTGATCCCCTGCGTGGGCGGTGGCTCCTGCTGACACCTCTCTGCCCTGGCGCGTGGGGCTGACGCGGCCGTGACCGGGATCCCGTGTCCCACACCCATCCCCACGTCACCTGGGACACGTGCCAGCTCTGGGAGTCCCATGCTGCAGGTGGAGAAACTGAGCCAGCGCCGAGCTCAGCATGGGGGGGCCATGGCATCCTGCTGCCATGGGCCATCACCATGTCACCTGGGGATCCAGCCCTCCAGCAGTGACATTCTGCTGTCGGCACTGAGGGTGCCCAGGGGCCGGGCAGGGGGTGCTGAGGGCACTCAGGCAGGCCTGGACCTGGTGGCACCAGCCCAGAGCTCCCTGGCACGGGGCCAGTCCTGCTGTGGAGCCACAGCCAGGCCCGTCCCAGCTCCCTGTGCCTCCGCTCCAGCGTGCCAGGCCAGGAGGAAGTGTTTTATTTACTGCTGTTATTTTTAGCTGGATGGTGCCCAGCTGCCTTGACCAGCCCAGGACAAGAACAGCCTGAGTGCCAGAAGCAGAGAAAGTCCTACACAGACAGAGAGGATTGTTTCCTGGAGTCTGTTCATTTCCTAAACCCTCATCCCCACAAAACCACAGCTGTAAGGACTCACACCCCACCTGCACTCATGGATGCTTCAGGAGCTGTGCAGGGGCTGAGGGTCCAAGGGCAGGGGGCTTCCCTCAGCCTCCCTCCTGCCCTGGCTTAGCCCCAGCCAGAAGCCATGGCAGTGCCTGGCACTGGTTAATAATTAAAGCAAAAAGCTTTGCAGGAAGAGACACACAAACTGGCCTCAAGCTTCCACCCAGAAACGGCCACAGCAAAGGACAGAGCAGGGTGCTGGTGCCCCCAAGCTCCTGTTCTGCTTAACTGAGCCACAGTTAAAGGCAGTGCTAATTCCTGCAGGGCCCTGTGCAGGCACTGGTGCTCCTGGATGCATCCCAATGGCTGAGCTGCTCCTGCTCCCTCCAGGACCCATTACACACAAACTTTGCTTGGCAGCTGGGACAGGCTGTGTTATTGATCGTGGCTGTGTTATCAGTTGTGGCACACTGATCAAAGGTTGTCAGCAGAGGAACAAGGCAGTGGTGCCTGAGCAGGTCCTACACACACAACACCCACAGCTACAGCAGCAAAACTCAAAGCAGGTGATGTGCTGTGCCCCATGTGCCATGTGCAGCTGTCAAAAACAACTGAAATAAATCCAGAAAGGTGCAAGGAAAGGCTTCCCTGGAGCTGCAAGGACCATGGGAACATGCACCCATCTATCCTTCATGCTTCCAGTCCAGGCTGAGTCACAGCCACAAGGGCATGAGGCTGTAAGGGCAATGCTTAACAGGTTATGGTAAGGCAATTAATTATGCAAATTCCAGCAGGCCACCATCACCTCCCCACAGAGCACAGGAGCCCCAGGCACCCTATTGTGCTCCCCAGCACCTGAGCCTCACACTAAGGCACAGCAGCACAACCCTGGCACTGCACCCTGTGACTCTGGCACAGCACCCAAAGCACCCCATGAGCCTGGCACTGCACCCCACGAGCCCAGAGCAGCACTCAGAGCACCCCAGAGAGCACCCCCTGAGCCCAGCCCAGCCCCTGCTGTGCTGAGCGACAGACGAGCGAGGGAAGAACCTCCAGACACAGGGCTGAGAAAAGCCAGCATAAAGCGTTTTTATTGCGATAATAAACTGGATACCTTTGTGCGGCGGAGAAGGAAGTGACTGGTGGGAATTTCTGTTACCAAGGGACTGGGCAGGGCAGAGGGAGGGGCACAGGGGACAGCTATGCGTCCTGTGAGACCAGGCAAGCAGCGATGACCAGCATCAGGTGGCAGGAGAGAATGGGCAGGTGTGCTCAGAGCAGGGACAACGGGGGGCTGATGGTTCCTTTCCATGGGGAAGAAGGAGGACAGAGGCGTTTTTGTTGAGTTGAGCCCCCGCCACCTCCCCTGCAGACAGCACCTTCCCTTTGTCCAGTTTTCCTTTTTCTTTAAAGAAAGCTCCATGCTACGGGATTTTCAGGGTGTGGTGGAGCTCTGGTGGAAACCCAACTCCCTAAATCCAAAAGTGGTCTGGAGGGGAAGGCAGGCCCACCATGAGATGGCAGGGTGAAGCAGGGGCAGGGCAGCCCTCCTTTCCCAGAGCAAACCCACAAGGCCTGCAGTGATGCTCCCCAGGGAGCAGGGAAAGGCCAGGCTCCCTCGCTGTCCCACCCCAGGCAGAATTCCTATAAACAATCCTAGTGCTACCTTGCTCTCTGCATCCCTTCAGCCTCAACAACCTCACTCTGCTATGGCTTTTGCAGCAGCAGCAATTTCTGGTTTGGAAACATCATAAATCTGCACCAAAACAAGTAACTAACAGGATTCCTTTTGTTCAAGTGACTCCTATCTAAGGTCAGCCCATCTGCGTGCTACTGGGAAAACGTAGTCTACACCTGGAACAAAAATAAGATTAAGAACTTGACCCAAAAAGAGTTGAGGTTTACGGTGTATAGTTTAAAAAGACATAAAAACACGATACAAGGAGGAAGAGTCAGACGCAAAGCTTAGTGACCAAAGGCATTCAATCAAGGTGTAAGGTTATACAATGAGTGTAGTGGACTATCAGGAAAAGCTCCATACAAAGTCATGTGCACTCTTCTTGAAGCTGAGATTCTGGATTCCTCCATGTGCCAAACCTGTGTGGAGAGAGGAGAGGCAGTGTGACAGAGCTGCCTGCTGGACAAGGAGGGAATGTGCCCAGGGCACAGCAGCCTCCACACAAACCACACTGGGCCCTCAGAGCAGCAGTCAAGCCTTGATCACAGGGGGGAGCACAGCCCCAACCCTGCCCAGCCCATGGGGACCCCACACCCCAGGGCAGAGCCCCACAGAATCACAGAATGGGCTGGGTTGGAAGGAACCTTAAAGACCCATCTTGTTTCAGCCTCCTGGCACAGGTAGGCACACTGTGCACTAGTTGCTCCAAGCCCCATCCAACCTGGCCTTGGACACTTCCAGGGATGGAGCAGCTGTAATTTCTCTGGACAGACAGTGCCAGGGCTCCTCCAGCCACACAGGGAAGAATTTCTCCCTAATATCTGATGTAACCTTGCCCTCTGTCAGTGTGAAGCTTTTCTGCCTTGCCCTGTCACTTGAGGCCCTTGTGCAAAGTCCCTCTCCAGCTCTTCTGGAGCCTCTTTAGGCTCTGGAAGGTGCTCCAAGGTTTCCCCAGAGCCTTCTCTTCTCCTGGCTGAGCAACTCCAGCTCTCAGCCTGTCTCCATAGCAGAAGTGCTCCAACCCTTGGGTCATAGTCACTGCCTCCTGCCCACACCATCAGTCCCGTGCCCTGGCAGCATGAGAGGCAGGAGGGGGTGTGGCAGCTGAGCCCCCTTGGTGCAACAACACTCAGAACCCAAGACACAAAGAACCAATGTGAACCCGCTCTGCCAGGCTGGGAACATTGCATGTAGCACTGCAGTGATCTGAACCCCAGCTCACCAGACTCCCGAGAGCAACTTCTACCCACAGCTAGAGACCTGCCCTGTCCTTCTTATATTCCCCACTACTGCCCACTCCCCCCTTGCCTCCATCCCACCTCCCCACACTGTCCCAAGATCAAACACAGGGGCCTTGAGCTGTCCTCAACCCACAGAGTCCCTGACAGAAGTTGCCCCTCCTTACCCGAGGACAGGGTGCTGGGATGGGTCATTCCAATTTCATGAGCTCCACGTCAAAAATTAGAGTGGCGTTTGGTGGGATGATCCCTGGGTGGCCAGTGGAGCCGTAGGCGTAGTCTGGGGAGATGGTCATCTTTGCCCGCTGACCAACGCTCATCTGGGGCAGGGACAGAAACACAGGGACATCAGGAGATGGGCACAACTGCCAGGTGAGTGACAGAGGAGGGACAAACACACCTGTCCCCACGGCTTTCCCTACACTGGGCAAGAGCACAGACTCAAAGCAGAGGAACAGGAAGAATGTCAGAGGGAAAAGGCAGGCAGCATGGGCTGGAAAATGAGCAGGGCTTGAGATGTC